AAGGTCATCTGCTAAAAGAAGTAAGTGGGTTAGGGAATACAAACTGTGGCAGAAATGGGGGAGCCATTTGTACAACTTGAAGATGATTGTTTTTTGAGAATGTTGCCAATTTAATCTAAAAATCAATTGAATTTCACTGCAGTCAGAAAATTGTACATCCTCTTTGTATCCAAATCCTCAGAGCCTTAGGGGGAAAAGCCTTTGAAGTGGAATGTAATGTTTTATGCAGAAAGACAGAATTTAGAGGGGAGGAGAAAGAGGAGAAAGAAACAAGTATGATGTACTTTTTTCCGATTGCTCTGGCACACAAACTCTGCTTTTCCCACTCACCCTTGTATCACCCCACTGATTTCAGCACCTCATGTCTTGTGTTCTCCTCAGCTTTAAACATCTCTGCAAATTCAAACACTTCCAACTTACTCTTTCTGGCTATGTTTTTGAATGAATAAGTGAACTGAATAAGTGAAGGCTGAAGTGATGCAATGAAATAAGTTTGAGAGATCTGAAAGTTTTCAGGATTTCAAAATATGCTTTTCATGTTACTTACAATTTTATAACTCATTTTGCTGTTTACTCTGTAAATGCAAAACTGCTGAAGAAAGTCTTGAAAAAGGAGGGAGTCATGGTTCTATGTTTAAAAATAAATGAAATGCACAGATATTGCTACTAAAGGTATTCTACAGTCTGTTATACAAACAGGATTAATGACTTAATGTTTCTTTATAGCATTCATCTTCATTTTAAAGGGCCTGTAGATGTCAAGTTCTTCAATTACTCTGAAAGTCTGTGACCTACATTTATATAAATTAATGTATTATGATTGCTAGCTAACAATATCTTGTATAGTTGTAATCAAAACATTCACTTGGGTATGGATATCATACATGACTTCTCTCCATTTTATTTTGGGAAGCTACCATATTGTGAGTGGCTAGGCAAAGAAAATCCATTTGATAGCAGCAGGAGAAATTAAGTAGCTTGTTATTCGTTCCCTGCATATGAGGCTATAGGTTTTTGTATATGGTAATGTACATGTGTGATTTTTTTTTTCCCCAAAAATGCCACGTGTATAATGCAACTCTGTTATTCTCCACCAGGTATATGCTGTTCATCTTGTAAATGCTTGCTTTGTAATAGTCTTTAAGTCCAGAATCTGCTGTCAATTGAGTTCTCATGTGTTTTTGATTGGTGAGCAAAAGACAAATAGCTCAGGTGATCAAAGGTGAGGGCTGTGCTCCCAGCTTTCACCACATCTCTGGACCTGCTCAGCAAAAGTTATGAAGTAGCTGGGCAGTGCTTCATTATAATTGCATGCTCTCAATGCTCAGAATCACAGGTACAGGTTGTAACTAGAGGAGCAGTTATTTGGATAAGCTTTAGCAGCTGGAGGTGGGATTCAGGATGCTTTTGTCTCCTGTGTCCCCTCGTCAGGGCTGAGGCTGTTCTCCTCAGCTCGGAGGCGATGCAGGACGTGTGCATGCACTGCCCCAGCTCACACAAATTGCTGATAGTTCAGAACAGACAGAGGTCAGGGCATGGCCTCAGAATCCTCCCTTAGTTTTAGGCACATTTTCACTGTTTTGCATGTTTATGTCATTTCCCTCTCACCACCTCCACAAAAACAAGTCAGCAGCTGCCTTACCTTCAGTCTCCAGGTGCTGCCGTAGTGTCAGTAATGTGGAGCACTTGAATTCCTACACAGGGCACATCCTAGATGTGTAGATATGAAATATCTCCTGCTGTCATAAACTGCAGCATTGTGAGGCAGTGAGTCCTGGTAAATCCTGAGATTTTCAGAAAAATCTTTTCTGCCATTGTATGGTGTTTCTGATAATTGTCTTGTGTCTAAATATTTTTGTTTTCAGTCAGTAATGTTACAGCTTTCGTTTTAGGTTGTTTGTATTAGAAGAATTTCCTATTTTGGACTTGTCTTGAATAGGCTGGAAAAAAATTGGTGCTTTTATAGTTTCTATGTGAAGGGGGTTTTATTTTATGTTCTATTAGTTGTTTGTTTTTCCTCTACAGTGCTTCGTCATCTGTCATCCCTCAATGCATACAGGATGATAAACTCCCTGTCCTGTTAATGGGAGTCGAGAATGTTTTGCTTCTCTCAGGATTGGTGCCATATTACCAGGACAATGTATTGATTTGGGTGACTGCCAGTGTGTGATGCATGACAGAAATGAGAAATTGAACTTTCTGAACGTGAAATAAATCGTGCTGATGATGATATATAAATGATTGAGGGAAAAGCAATCAATCAGATGCTCTCTGCTGGCAGGAGAGCTACATACAATTTAATATATAGTAAACCAACAGTTACTTACAGTCTAAATCAAATCGTGTTCTGTGCTAAACTCATATTCTTGCAAAGATTACTTGGAACATTTTTGGGTTTACTATGCTTTCCTTTCTGCTTTACCAACATGTGGTGTCTCATTTAAAATTATTGAACTGACTCTATTAATTCTTGTTTTTTCTTGTCAAGAGCTGCAGATTGTTTTTTCTAGACTGCTTATTACTACTTTAAATTGGTTGATCTTTAAATAATTTTAACTTGTAAGTAGAGTTGTTTTGAGTCCCAGATACCTGCAGAAGGAGTTTATTATAGCTGCAGGTAATTGGACTTTACTGCAAAACATCCACTAGAGACATGAATAGGCCCATTCTCTCTTTTGGCAGATGTTTTACAGATATTAGACTTATATCCAATTATCTTTGGGTACTTTATCAGTACACAAGAGCATTCATGTGCAGATGACTGTAATATTCTTTGCTCTCCTTCTCCACACTCTGAAATGAATGGGATAATTTATCCTTTTTGGAAAGAGAAGTATTTTAATGAAAGCTTAAAGAGACTTCCTGAAATTCTCTTCATTAATGAGTCCTGTCATTCTCAGTCTGTCTCAGGTTATCATTTGCCCAATGTAAGACCCTTCAGCAGCAGGGGATTCTGCTCAGTTCTCCCCAAAGCCACCCAGAGCTGCAGGGTTTGGAATCCTCAGTTTGAGCTTTGGAGTGGGATTTTCCAAGGATTCCTCTCTCCTAAGCAGTTGTCATTGCTTCCTTCGTGTGAAGGCTGTGAGAATCCAGGGAGAAGCTGAACCACATCCTCCTGGTGGAGGGTGATGCTGAAGCATTTGGCAGTCAGGTGGAATGTAAATCCTGGAGTTCTCTTGTGTGAGCCCTGGTATGATTACACAGCTCAAGGCTAAACTGTTCATAGGCAGTTCAGCAAAAAAAGTTCTTCTAAGAGATATTTTTAAAAGTGCAACCAAATAAAAAGCCATTTGGGCTTTTTATAAACTTCTTCTCTTACATAGAAAAGTGGGATTTTTCCCTGCTGAAACTTATTTTAGCATTTGTTTTTTTTTCAGAAATAAAAAAAAATACTGATTTATTAGCTATGAAGTTTAACAGTTTTAGTTACCTTTGAATTAAGCATATTATTTTGATTAATCCACGTTCAGTAAATGGTATTAGAATCTGGAACTTGCCATTGGAGGGCAGGGTTGATGTCAGAATATCAGCAAAACTTGACAATATCACTAATATACTCTCAAAAAAGTAATACCAACCTTTCTAAACTCTCTAAGGGTGTTCTTTTATATTTTTCATAACATGAAATGCAATAAGTTGCTTTTACATCTCAACATCAGCCAATATAATTATTAATCTTTATTTTATTTTAGACTTTATTTTAATTTTAGGTTGTATTTTCTTTCTCTCCCTGAAAGCCTAGAGAAAGACTTGACAAGTATGAAGTTGCTAGACAGGGGAATATAAGTAACCTGTCTGCCTTTTCTGAAGACAGACTTGTGACCAGGAAAGTAAAAGTCACTTATACAAAACTCTGGAATTGCTATCAACATACTGTACAAATGTATCTACCAAAATACTTTTTTAAAATTATGTTTATTAGATTTTTATAGTTGCTTCAGTGTTTTTACAGATTATTTAGTTCATGTCTTCAAACTTGCTTGCCTTCTGCTATTGCTGTACAGATGGAGTTTACTTAGATTATCAAAAATTAATTATGCATAGGAGCAATTTTACAGATTCTATGCATTATTCCTTGAAATTCAGTGGTATTTGAGCATTCTAAAATGGTATTTAGTGTACAATTTTGTCTTTTGTCTGTGGATGAAGACTTAAAATCAAGGTGTTTATGTATTTATTATCTCAATTTGCAAAACAGTCATGGTCATTATTCTGTGTTTTAGTTTCAATGACAAAAATGTTTAGATTAATGCATGATTAAATATTAATGAAAATTGTATTTCCTAGTTTTGCAGTAGATTTATTTCTGATGTCTCATGGTCATTTCTGTACACCAACTCTGGAGCATGGAACTTGGCTCAGGTGCCATTTGAGAACCCAGATTCCTTTCTCATGGATATGTTTTATGACAGTGAATATGTGCTGGGCTCTAGGGTGTTTTGTTGGGTGGTGGGAATTTTATTTTTCTTTGGTTGATTTCTTGTGGGTGTTTTTTTGCCACTGCATCGGCTGTAGTTGCTTCTTACAAGGTCTCTTAGGAGCCTCACTGAATGTTGCTGTCTTACTGCATTCAAACCATTTTAGAAAAAGAATTATGCTGTTTTACAACTGAAAATTAAACATTGTGTGTGCTGATGTTTCAGCTGAGGGACAAAAATTACAGCAAAATTGTGCTGTTTTATCCAGCCTCAGGATCAGAAGTTACCTTAAGCTGATGTACAGTTGCTATATGGAGATGGAATGTGGGCAGTCCTAATTTGGTTTTAAAGGTCTGTTTTGTTAATACATTCATGTAATATATCTTTAAAAAAATACAAAGCCAACAAATATTAAAATGCACCTAGAGTAGCCTTTTGAAGTTCTATTTGGAATGACCTGTGTCTGTATATTTATAAATTGCTTAATTTTAGAAATATATTTTATATGTTTTGAGTTAATGAACTTTTCCCCATGGTGTCAGAAGAGATTTGTATCTCACTTGTTTATTCCTGTTTTTATAGATGGCTATACAACAGATGACATTGAATTTTACTGGCGTGGGGGTGATAATGCAGTCACAGGAGTGACAAAGATCGAACTGCCACAGTTCTCCATTGTGGACTACAAGCTTATCACCAAGAATGTTGTTTTCTCTACAGGTTTGTGGAGGGGAACTTAAAAGGGGAATTCTTTAAAGGCTTCTAAAACTGGATTAATTCTCTGTGTGGAGTTGAGGAGCAAAACTTTTGGAAAGAGGAATAAAATGGAGCAGCAGCTGTGAATTTGGAAAGCAGAACTTTTTGTGTTACAGTTTCTATAGTGTATAATGCACCATTCATTAACATCTGTAATTTGTCATGTTAAGGCTCATCAAATGAGCTCTATTTTCTGTTTACCTATGAAAACTGATTAAGCCACTTATACACCTCTATGCCATAAACCCAACCCAGTGTGTAGGATATTTAGGAACCTTTTCCTCCATATTTTTAGATGTTCCTTTTACCAAGTTGAGGATGTATTAGACTAATTATTTTGTCATCAACATAAAGTCTTTAAAATGCTTGTTCCAGGATTTCCAGTTTAGCCTATTCTAGCAAGCATATTCTGACGGCTGAAAAGATGCTTTCTGAGAAGGAGCAGAAAATCAGATTGCATTTAATGAAATAATAATAATAATAATATAAAACCCCAACATATTTCAATGATATTAAATTATTCAAGAGAGACAATAGTTGGATTGGACTGTTACTAGAAGATGTTTTCTACCTACTTGAGAAACCCATTAGGTATGTTAAAAAATTAACTTTCAAACTCACTTTCCAGATATGGGTAGAAATCATCTTTGGAGAGACTGTAGAATTATTTTACATCCCAAATTCTTCAAAATCAAGCAGAAATGGGACTTGAAGAATGATTTCTAGGCACCTCTATTAGCAAATGTTTCATACACTACAATATGTCTGGTGTCCAGTGACAAAGGAGGAGCGTTGCATTTCTTGGAGAGAAGTTTAGGATAAGGGTTCACATTGAAGCTGGCATTTGAAAGTTTGTCAGGGAAGAGGACTTTCTGTGCTTTGTTGCTCTGATGTATTTTTGCTGTTGATTGTTAAATGTTATGATTGCCAGCAGATAAACAACTAGAGCATCTTTGTACCCTTAGCATAAAAGATTATTTAATCCCAGTTCTTGCTAGAAATTCTGTAGCTGAATATCCTGGATCTTTCAGCTCTGAGTGTACTCTGTTGAATGAAAAAATAAAAATGACAGAAAAGAAAAATGTTTTCAGGCATTATACAAATAAATTATGGCCATACCAAATATTCTCTTTTAGGTGCCTACCCAAGGCTGTCTCTCAGCTTTAAACTTAAGAGAAACATTGGTTACTTCATTCTGCAGACCTACATGCCTTCTATTCTGATCACTATCCTGTCCTGGGTTTCCTTCTGGATTAATTATGATGCTTCAGCTGCAAGAGTTGCATTAGGTAGGCATTTTTACACATCTCATGCAGTGTGCATTAGCTGAATGGTTTTTCTAGCTTCTGGCTGAGTGGATAGTGCATGATTTGAAAATAAAAAAAATATTTGTGTTAGATCTTTTTATGTCTGGCTTGTTAAGCTTTTTATTATTTGAATCAGCATTTAAAACATCAGAATTTAAATAAAAATTAAAGTGATTTAACGTCTGAATTAGCTAACTTTATAATCATTGTAATCAAAATTAGCCTAATTGTCTCAACATACTCTGTTGTTCTTTTGCTACTTGTTTTTTCTCTGAAATGAATGCACTTAGTTTGCTTTTGCCCATAGCAGTCTGGAACACACGTCCACCATTGTGTTATGGATTATAAATTGGTTTTCATTTCAGGAATTAAATAAAGTTTTACTAGGATTTTATAGCTCACTTGTCCTTATGTTGAGGGAGGAGGCTGTGCCTCAAATCCTGTGTCCAGCTCCAGGCTCCTCACTCCAAGACAGACATTGAGGGGCTGGGATGTGTCCAGAGAAAGGCAGCAAAGCTGGGGCAGGGTCTGGAGCACAAATCTGATGAGGAGCAGCTGGGGGAGCTCAGCCTGGAGAAAAAAAGGCTCAGGGGGAACCTTCTTGGTCCCTAAAACTCCCTGGGAGGAGTGTGCAGCCAGCTGGGGGTTCAGCTCTTCTGCCAAGTAATAGGTGAAAGGACAAGAGGAAACAGACTCACGTTATGCCAGGGGAGGTTTACATTAGATCCTAGGGGAAATATTTTCACCAAAAAGGTTTCCAGCCCTGTCAGAGCCTGTTCTGGGAAGTGGTGGAATTACCATCCATGGAGGAATTTAAAAGATTTGAAGATTTGGTGCCTGGGGACCTGGTGGTCATGGCAGTGCTGATTTAAAGATTGGGTTCAATGAACTTAAAGGTCTTTTCCAACCTAAATGATTGTAAGAGTGATTATTTTTTTCCTTACTGTTGCCTTATGTTCCAAAAACAAAACTGTTTCCCTAATTAATCTCTAGAGTATTTGTGTATCTCCTCACTAGTCCCATGTGTACCTGTTTATTCTGTCCCCTCATAAGAAGCATGTTGCAAAAATAAGTATCTATCTCTGTTGCCAAATTTTGTCAAAATCAGGCAGATTCGTGCCAGTACAACTCTTGTATAGCTAAAATAAGTAAAGCCCCATAAAATATGCCATTGAAAATTTGACATTATAATTTTATAGAATACATCTGAGTTTTACCAGACCTTTCTGTGTACCATTTTGCCTTAAGAATTTGAGACTGAAGACATCCTGAAAATGCTGGAGGAAAGCAAGATAAAGCAACTGTAGCCTGTAATTTTTAACTGAGACTCATTACAGAAGGTTGCAGTTTAGCTGGTTAAAAATACACTTATGGAATCCAACTACTGTTTGCTTAACTGAGCTCAAATTATTACATGTATAATATTTTTTATGCTCTGCAAAAAATACAAGTCCAAGATAAGGACTGAACAAGATGTTCCTGAAAAAATTCAAGCACAGAAAGGAAAATGACAGAGGGTGGTGGCAAGGTCAGGTAGCCTGTGAGAAATACACAAAAAAAAAAAAAAAAAAATAAAATCTGAGCAGCCAGGGATCAGGTTAGGTAAGCTAAAGCCCTGAGACAGAACTAAATCTGTCCAAGGACATCAAAGGCAACAAGAAAAGCTTCTATATAGGTACATCAGTGCTAAAATGGTCAGGGAAAATGGGAGTCCTCTCTGAAAGGAAACAAGAGACCTGAATACACCGCATCTGGAGAAGACTGAGGTGCTGAACACCTTTTTAATGCCTTGCTCTCATGGACAAGTGCTCCAGACACATTGCCCAAGTTGCAGAAGGCAAAGGCTGGGAGAGTGAAGAACCACCTGCTTAAGGGATCTTGTTGGAGACCATCCAAGGAACCTGGGGATCCCAAGTACAAAGTCCATGGGACCTGATGAGATGCATCCACAGGGCCTGAGGGAACTGGCAAATGAATTGGCTAAAACTCTACCCATCGCATTTGAGAAGCCATGGCAGTCTGATGAAGTTTCACTGGCTGGAAAAGTGGAAGCAAAAGACCCCTTTTTAAGAGTGGTTAAAAAAGAAGACTTGGGGAACTACAGAACTGTCAGTCTCACATTGGTGCCTGCCAAGGTCATGGAGCAGATCTTCCTGGAAACTATGCTAAGGCACATGGGAACCAAGGAAGTGATTGATGAGAGCCAGCTGGACTTCACTAAGGGCAGGTTGTGCCTGACAGAGCCTGTGGCTGTCTGCAGCAGGGTCCCAGCTCTAGTGGAATGAGGGAAGAGCAACTGATGTCATCTACCTGGACTTGTGCAAAGCATCTGACACTGAGATTCTTCTCGGTGCGTGAGAAGCATGCTGTCCTTCTCTCTAAACTGAAGAGTCATGGATTTGCTGGATGGACACTCAGTGGATAAGGAGTTGGCTGGATGTTTGCACTTAAATAGTTGCAGTCAACAGTTTGATGTCCAAGTGGAAACCAGTGAGAATTGTCCTCAGGGGTCCATTTTGGGATTGGTGAAGCTTAACATCTTGGTCAGAAACGTGAACAATGGGATTGAGGGCATCCTCAGCAAGTTGCTGAGCTGTGTGGTGCTGTCCACATGCTGGAGGGAAGAGATCCATCTAGAGCAGCCTTAACAGGCTGGAGAAATGTCACAGAGATAATTGTGTGACTGGAGCACCTCTCTCTATGAAGATAGGGAGTTGGAATTGCTCAGCCTGGAGCAGAGAAGGCTCCAGGAGGACCTTAAAGCACCTTTGAGAGCCTAAAAGGGCTCTAAGAGAGCTGGTGAAGGACTTGGGATGAAGGGGAATGCCTTTAAACTGTCATCATATGGATTTAGATTAGATTTTAAGAAGAAATTCTTCACTGTGAGTATAATGAGATAGTAGATCATGTTGCCTGAATGTTTCCCTATCCCTGGAAACATTCAAGGCCAGGGTGGATGCATAAGCAACCTGGTGGAAACCTAGTGGAAGGTTTCCCTGCCCATGGTACCAGATAGTTTTGAAGATCCCTTCCAGCCCAAACCTTTCTAGGATTCTATGAATATGGACAAAGGTTAGAGTTATCTTTTTGCCACCAGGGGAAAATAAAAATAGTTTTCAACTTCAGCATTTGAATAGCATAAAATATTATTCTAGAAAATAAATTAAAATTATTTCAATCACTAGACTTCTCAATTCTTTTTTCCAGGAATCACAACTGTGCTCACAATGACAACAATTAACACCCATCTTCGAGAGACTCTTCCCAAAATTCCATATGTGAAAGCCATTGATATGTACCTTATGGGATGTTTTGTCTTCGTTTTCATGGCTCTGCTGGAATATGCATTGGTCAACTACATCTTCTTTGGCAGGGGACCTCAGCGCCAAAAGAAAGCAGCAGAAAAAGCTGCCAGTGCCAACAATGAGAAGTTGCGAATGGATGTCAATAAGGTAAACTGTAATGGGGATAAATTTTTAGCATTTTCCCAGGAAGACAGGCTCTCACTTCTGTCAGACAGTGCTTTAAAATGTAATTTCTTGTAGAAAATGAGTGGAGTGGAATTATGATGACCTTGTCTTAGCTCTGCAGAGCAGTGTACTTAGCCACCTCAGCAATGAATGCTGCCCTGCAGCCTGGAAAGCTGAATGACTTGTTTCTAAAGCATGCAGTCAGTGAAGCTTTACTGAGAGATGTTTTCTTAGTCAGAATGTAGACTTGAATATGTACAACCTGTTTCCAAAGGAATAAATCCAAAATGATGGCTGTATATTCTAGTAAGATCTGTATGGAACATTGGAAGTAAAACCTAAATTTAACCTGCTTTCATAAATCTTTCAGATGAGCTGGATAAGAAATATTTTCCACAGATGTGTTTAAAGTTTGAGAAGTTTGCATATTTTCAATGTCTAATGGGCCAGGATACTATTGACTAAATGAGGAACTTCTCAGAAATAAACCATCAATGTGCTGTGTACTTAATTTTGAATCTAAAAGTGGCCCCCTAGGGATGGAGAATTGAGGCAGAAAAGGTATTTGCCAAGATACACACTTCTGGGAAAAGTATCCATTATGCTTAATGAAAATGGGGCACTTATCATAAAGCACTTGTAATTTATCACTTTGGCCATTTTGGGATAAATTTCACACAGTGACAAATCTGTGCTGAATGCAAAAATGTTTTCAGTCTAAAATGTATAAACTTTCACACACATGCAAAGTTGGAAAATTAAATAAGTTTGAATTATCTTGGGGGTTTGGGGTTTTGTTTTTGGAGGCGGTGAGAGAGTTGTGGGATTTTTTTTATTATTATTATTTTTTTTTTTTTTGTCCTTTTTTTTTTTTTTTTTTTTTTTTTTTTTTTTTTTTTTGGTCAGGGAAAGCTCTTTGAGTTGTAATTTATCAGGACAGTCCAGGGAGAAAAAATCAAAGTCAGAATCTAAATAAAAAAAAAAGAAATCTGCATTAGGAAAAAAGCAAGGGATTATTTGTCAAATGAAGACTTAATTTTCATACAGCTCTAGTAGTGAAATTTCTAATGTTTGTTCAGAACCTCTACACACACAGTGGGTCTGCAGACAGAAGAACATTTTATTCCAAAAATCCATCACATATTGATAGCACAAAATAGGTTATAGTTTATAGTCCTTTAAGAAGTAGAGTTTTATGGTCATGGTTCATCTCATTCATTATTTTTTTTTTCTTTTTGATTGGAGAGAAATGTATTTTAATGAATGAAGGCATACTCATAATTATGAGTTTAATTTTTGTTATGTTACCATATATCACCTTTTAGCATTATAACATTCATAAAGACACTGTAACATGTTCTGATTTCTACTGGACTTTTCAGCATTGAAAAAAATCTATTAATTTTTATTTAAACTGTTAAAATCTTTTTTCTTTTTTTAAGTTGTTTCACTTCAAAAAGGCTATAAACTACCCAGTAATTAATTTTGCAAGACTAGACCTGCATTTACCTGAAGTCTTTCCTTTGATAGCAATGGAGATTTAAGATCCATAGGTGTTAGAGTGCCACCAGTAGCTGAGGTATATTTTTGCACACTTTGCTTCACTTGTGGTATTTTCAACAGTCTTGTTCATAGACTAAGCCTTCCAGCTGTGTAACAGAATAGCCAAAGTCCAGTGGAAAATTGCTGATCATGAAGAAGAATTTAGGAAGAATTTGAAATTAATGTGTTAATCCAATTCACTAGGCAGAGTAAATTAATTTCAATACTGTTGCAGAACTCTACCGGTCTACAAGATTGACACAAGGAATACTGTGGAACACAACGAACAATTTTACATTATTTTTTATTTTTTTCATAGTGAGCCTTTCAGTTAATGTTCTAGGCCAGCATTGTTAGCAGTGTATGGCAGGCCTGCTCTGGTATCCAGATCCACTCTGATCTGGTAATCAGGTCTGCAATCCTTTAAGCAATAAACAGAATCAAATAGGAGAGGATCAGAGGACTTGTCCTACTGCACAGGCTGCTCTGGGGAGAAGGAAAGGAGCTGACAGCTGCTCTTGTTGTTTGACCAGCAGCGAGAAAACATATTAATATTTAATGGAACTGAATATTTTATCTATTAAAGGGAGACAAATATTATGTAATTATTTTCATTTATAAGAATAAAAAAGGGGTCTGAACTGCTGAAATTAGTTCAGAAACAGTTTTTCATAAAAACCAACATATTTTAGAAATGGGATCAGACAAATACTCCATCTTTAACTAGGCTCCAATAGTGAAGGACAGATTTTACAAGCTATGAGTGTTCTTTTGTGATATCATAAGATTCCTCTTGAATCACTATGTGAAATATTATGAATTCATAAGAATCAGATACTAGACAAGAGAAGATTGATGCTATGAGGAAGAAACCTCAAAACATGAGGATGAAACTTCTATACAAAACAGCTTCTGTTACTGCATTCAGCATTGACTCTGCAGAAGAGGTGGATAAATAGTTATGGAACTGCTGTTTGTAGCACAGCATCTTTGCTTATACTTTATAGATCAGAAAATCTGTAATGGTTTTCTTTCAATGCCAACACTCTTGTTTGGTAACAATCTCATGCAACTTTCAACCAACAGAAGGTGGTGAGAAGTGCTGACTGGTCCTCTCATCCACAACTCTGCTTGCAAAATCAGAGAAGTTAATCCATGCTCCCTTCATGCTGTTGAATTCTCTTCCATGAACAGATTCCAGTGTGGACATGGGCACTGGTAATCTCTCTATTTTTGCTTAGTGTTATTCAGAAGATACCAGGGAGCCTACAACACAGTGTGCAATGGAAGCTTTTTTTCCCATGGCCATGGTATCTGCTGAATCCATCACAATCTCTTGGAGATTTGGTGACTCGGGTGTCCTGTTTTTTCCATTTGAGTGAACTCCATTTGACTGGCTGCAGAGCTTCCCCAGGGACATTCCAGATGAAACTGTTGCCAAATCTTTCTTTAAATTTCATATCATATTCTTATATATGCAAAATCTGGTAGTTTGAAGTTTATTCTGTCTTTTTTTTTTTTTTTTAATCATTGAATAGTTTGAGTTGGAAAGGACCTTTAAAGGTCACCTACTCCAACCTCATTTTAATGAGCAGGGCCATCTTCATTCAGCTAGATGCTCAGGGCATTATCCAATGTGACCTTGGATCCCTGTTTCCAGGGATGGGGCATCCACCACCTCTCTGAGTAAACTCTTCCACTGTTTCATCACTCTCATTTTAAAAAAATTCTTTCGTATACCTAGTCTGAATCATCATATAAGATATTTTCAAAGACTGTTGATCTGTCTGCAGTAATGGAAAGGTAGAGAAGGAAATGGGTCTTGATTGCTTCTTGGATACTGAAACCTGAGTAATAAAATTATGTAGAAATTTAAAGAACATAAAACTCAAGGCAGATTCAGACTCAGTTACCAGCAGATACAGATTACAGATTTAACAGACTTATGAAATCATATAGGACTTTCTTGATTTTCTTTGCAGCGAGTTCAGATAAAAATGGCTGTGAGTATCATCATTTTACTCTTGAAACTTCTCAGCTGCACTTAGCAGTTTGTTCCTTCAGTCTAACTCATCATCTTTTGCCTTATCAAGACAAGTTGTTTTTTCTGTAAACAATCATATTGTTGCCTTTCTTCTTACTCTAGACATCCTTCATTTATTTGAAATAGCATTCACATAATTTCCTCACTTCTCTTTTCAAGTTTTTCATCTTATGTCTTGAAATACCTTTTTTGCCTGAGTAGTCTCAAGTTTCTTAGTCTCTTCTGTTCTGATTGGCATAGTACTGCAAGTGTACATAAGGGTAGTTACACTGGGAGTGACCTATGTCTCCTTGAGAACCTAGCATGTCATAATGTCATATACTCTAAGCCATTGTTATGTATTTTTATTTCATGAACTTTTCTATTTAAGAATGATGATGGTCATCAGTGTCCTTTTGATCCTTTACATTTTATGAATCTTCATGTTAATATTGTTTGTGCTTCTTCAAAATGATTAACAGATACATTAAAATACAGGCATAAATCCCAGCCTCTGGCTTCCCAATATCATTCACCTGTCTTCCTGTGGGCAATTGTACGTGCATCTGGGACATGTTAGCCCTTCTATTTTAAGTTAGTGTATCAAAGGCTTTACTGAAATCCATAAATCATATCTTCTCATTCAGTAGCTACATACAAATGGTCTAAAAAGATCTGGTCTGGAAGCCTCTATGACTCTGTTTTACTTTTCATTGTAATTTCTTGTTTTCTTTTGGGATAGAAGGGGCTCAGGGAGGGGAAACAAGTTGCTGTCATATAACTCTTCAGGTTTTCCCCCTGTGAAGTCTGGTTTTGCCTCCAAGATGATTCACCTAACTACAATTCCAGTGTAGAGGCTGGTTCAACTGCAAATGGGCAGATCCCCAGCCATTTTAATAACTTTCATTTCTGTTATGAGAGCTCAGATAATGATTTTCTTGGTGCTCTCTCAGAGCTGATTTATTCCCCTTACATTTTTTCCAGAATCCAGGAGCCAAGTTATTTTTGATTAATTTTAAAATTTACTCTTAATTTGTAGTTTCTAATAATTTTACCTTGGATGTTTCCATCTTGAAACACTGATGTAGGTGGGCTTGCTGATGCTGACCACTGTGATGAATCTGATATATCTTCTAGGCATTTGCTGTCTGATCGCCTGCCAAGTTCTATATTTTCCATATGTTTTCCTGTGTTTCTAAATTTCATGTACATCAGCTGCATAAGTTGCTGTTACATCTATTGGATTTTACTGCTGCTTTTTCTACAGTTGCTCATCTGACTCATTTGATCCAAGCTACTATGTACATTAATTGACTACTCTTGAGGCATAAGTAGGGTGAAAATGCTTTTCAGTATCAATTAAATCTCTATTTGTTATTCTGGATAGATCAGTAAACCTGCATTAGAGTGGTTAAAC